TGTGTATATACACATATATTTATGTATATGTATAAATATATAGTGTATATATGTGTGTATATATGCTATATCATCCCTCCATCCTACAAGCAATAAAAACTAAGACTTAAGGCCCATATATGGATTAAGTAACATAGAAACTAAACTCAACTATTCAGTAGATACTTTAGGTGTTAGCATCTTGACCCTCACCTCTATCCACTTATAGAGGAGCCTGGATCTTATCTGAAAAGTATATTGAACCAACATATCCTTTCCATGAGTTGTGGAGGAAACAGACTTACTGTCCAGGTTTTACTTTAAAAAAAAAAAAAGACAAAGCTAAGTCAGAGATTCCAAGGCCAATTATTTAGGCCAATGAGCTCCTAGGCCAGCTTTGTCTTCTTTTAGTTAAAGACTCCCCATTTTGTGGGTGAGAAAAATGAAGCTGCATCAGAGAAATGCTGGGCTTATCCCAACAGCTTTACTTGAGTCCTGTACCACCAAGAATGCAAACCTTTGTATATGTTTTTTGTTAATACTTTCTTTCTTCTTTGCCCTTCTTGTGATACAGATATCGCTACTTTCTTGACTGTCTCTAAGAGTCTTTCCTCCCTCCCTCCCAGAGGCCTCATATTAGCTGTAATTTACTGCAATTTGTGTGGGCCTCTCCAAGTCCAGGATGAGTCCCATTCTCTGTTGCCAAGAAGATGACACAGGACAGGTGTACCTCCATATTACTCGTTTCATTCTCAGTTCAACTGATGATCTTAATCCTTCCTTGCTGTTGACTTGACACTCAGATGTCTCACTTGGCCTGTTCCCTCCTTTGGGGGTCTAGGTTCCTTGAATTTGATCTCTGGAGTGGTCTTTCCCTACCACCTTGTGGGTTCTTCCTTTGACCAAATATCTAAGTGACACTCTCTATTGAGAAACACATCTTCCTTTTTCCTCACTGTGGTGCAAGCCAACCTGAGTCTCAATATAGCATGCTTAGCTTTCTGGCCTAAACAGGCATGTTTGCCTTCTGAACTTAACATTCTTTCATCTTGGCCTCAGTATAGTATTAGCCACATTAATCTATATTTACTCACATACTTCTTTTTCCTATCCCTTACTAGGGGCGTGCTAGAGATCAAACCAGCAGCCAGTTGTTGTTTTCAGTATGAGCATTTATACCAGCAAACACTACACTATTTCTTTTAAAGAAAACATTATTATTTTTAATCAATAATTAATTAATTAATTAATGATTTATTGTTTTGTTGATTTACCTGAGAAAATGTTAATAATGTAAATGAAACTTAAAGGTATGTCTTGTATACATTTTTTGAAGGAGAGCTGGTGGTAAACATTTGCCAACACACCATTGTCTTAGCCCAATAACTCTGAGATTATAGAGGATCATAGGATCTCAGAATTAGAAACAACTTTAAATGCCCTCCATTCTAATCCATAGTTAAGGAGGTATACTTCCTTTTATAATATCTCTGACAAGTGACCATGCAGCTTCTCTTGAAGACTTGCAATAATGGAAAAATTACTGCCTCTGAGACAGCCCATTCTTGTTTTGATGAAGTCTGTTTGAAGATTTAATATAAGGAAGATCCTCAGGAACCTTGACCCATTATAATTCTGTCCTATTGAGCTTAATTACACAAGTCTCTCCCTCTTTCACATGATATCTCTTTGCCCTAGATTTTTGAAGACCACTGTACTATCTCCCTTCCTCCCCAACTTCTCTAAGCTAAGCATGCTCATTTCTACTCTGGGTTTGGAACATTAGATTATGCCATCAACTTTGGTTTATTTGCTTGGTTGTTTTTTCTTTCCTTCTTTTAAAAAAAATTCTTTGTTACAAAAGATGACTGGCTAGGTATGAGTAAAGATAGAGGCAGCTAGGTGACACAGTGGGTAGAGCACTGGTCCTACAGTCAGGAAGAACTGAGTTTACATCCAGTCTTAGACCCTTACTAGCTCTGTGATCCTGGGCAAGTCACTTAATGTCTGCCTGCCTCAATTTCCCCATTTTGCAAATGGGAAAAATGATTGCATCTATCTCCTTGGTTGTTATAAGGATAAATACAATGATATACTTTGCTATATAAGTGTTATTATTATATTTAGAAAAGAAGGTAATGTAAAAATACCGTAATTTTAAAAAGTCAACAAGAAGAAATATGAATCCCAGTTCCTTCAGCTAATCTTTGTATGGAATGATTTCACCCATCCTCCTGAACTCGTTATAGCTTGACATTGACCTTCTAAATGTGTGATATCCAGAAGTGAATACATGTGGTCTGATCAGATATGGTCCGACTAAAGAAGAAAACAGCAGGGCTAGAACTCTTTTGCTCTGGGCACTATGTTGCTATTAGTACAGTCTAAGATCACATCAGATCTCAGACTGCCATGTTTGATTAGATATTTTTCTGAGCCTGGTAAAACAGACATTTTAGACTGTTTAGTGGTCATATTATAAATTTACAGCAAAGACTCCCAACTCGATATTATGAGAGGTTTGTAAATCCGTATGTGGAACTATAAATAAGCAAATACACTCCTGTTAGAATGTAAGATCCTTAAGGGTGGAGACTATTTTAGTTTTGAATCCCCTGGGGTGCTGAGCACAGTACCTGGCACAGAGCTTGTTCTTTAGTCATTTTTAGTCATGTCTGACTCTTTGTGACCCCATCTGGGGTTTCTTAGCAAAGATCCTGGAGCGGTTTGCCATTTCCTTTTCCAACTCATTTTACGGATGAGGAAACTGAGACAAACAGGGTGAAGTGACTTCCCCAGGGTCACACATCTAATAAGTGTCTGAGGCCAGATTTGAACTCAGGTTTTCCTGACTCCAGGGCCATCACTATATCCACTGTAGCAGCTAGCTGCCACCTAGATGACACAGAGTAGGGACTTACTAAATGCTTAATTGATTTCTTCTATAGGCTGAATATTTAATATGAGTTATCATTTTTCAAAAATATGTAGATGCAACTTAGTTTAAAAGCATTACTGAATTTATAAGCACTTCTTATCATTAGGTATTTTATCAACCAGTAGATTCTTATAGTGCAACTGCTGCCAAGTGAGGTTCTAAGAAATTTCTTGACATTTAAAAGGGCCCCTTGAGGAGATTGGGAACCGTGTATCTATACAGATAGTGGTTGAATTATAGTCTGCCTTTTTCTATGACAGTGACAGATTTTGAATATTTAAATCAGCAAATATCTATTCTCTATTACATGTGGAGCATTATTTTAGAATTTAAATACCAGTACTGTATAGTGGAAAGAGCATTGGAGTCGGGAGACCTGTTTTGGGTCCCTAATGTTGCCTCTGACATTTGTTAGGTATATGATTGAGAGGCTGAATGGTGTAGTAGAAAGGAGGCTGGGTTTGCAGTCAAACAACCTTGATTTCAATTCAGGTTTGGCCAATTAATACTGTATGACCTTGGGTAAGTTACTTAATATCTCTGTGAATCATTTTTCTTAGTTAGCCTCTTAGTTTTCCAATATATAAAATACAGGTATTGGATTAGATGATTACTCAGGTCCCTTCCCACTCCATCTCTACAATCCTTTGGTCTGTGAGCCTATCTTTAACCACCATGTCCTTATCCTTAAAAAAAATTATTAAAAATTGAATTATTTCTTAGGGTTGTTGTGAGGATCATACTTTTAAATATGACCTATTATCTTTGTGATTTCCCTGATAGGTGCTATACATACATGCACATAAAACTCTTTCAAAGACGTCCAAATCATTTATGCTTTAATGGCCTACACCCCTTGTTCTCCATCTCTACCCATAAGTCGTAAGACTCAGATTATCTTAAGTAATTTATATAATTAGATTTAGGATAGGAATTTTGAACCCAAGTTATGGAGGGCCTGAACATACTTGCTGTTATTTATTTTATGCTTGAATTTTATCGGTTAGGTAGTAAAGTAGATTGAGAGCTGAACTTGCAGTTAAGATGACCTGAGTTCAAATCCAGCCTCAGGCACTTATTAGATGTATGACCCTAGGCAAATCACTTATTCTCTATCTGCCTTAGTTTCCTTATCTGTAAAATGAGGATAATAATAACACCTACCTCCCAAGCTGTTGTGGGGATCGAAAGGGCTAACAGCCCAAAAGTGCTTTGCAAGCCTTAAAGCACTATAGGAATGCTAGGTATTATTGTTATTATTATTAGGTAAAACTCAATTATATCCTACTGGGTGAATGTGATCCTTTGAGGGAGTTAATCTAGAAGATTTTTTAATATATATGAATCTTTTTTCTCCTTTTAACATATATTTTAGAGTCCTCAAGTTATAAATTTAAAGTGGTAAAACTTGTTATTGAAGGTACATCTTTACGTGAAAGGCTATTATTAATTTAAATATTTTGTACATATCAATCATTTGATTGAGAAAAAAAGGCTGAGTTATATTCATTAATATGAGACATAGTTCTTTTAATGAAAATGAAATTAAAGCAAATACATTTTACTCTAGTATATGCCATATTCCCTAAATTTTCTGTGTCTTGGTTTATACTTTTCAAAATGGTATTGATAAGTCCCACCTGTCCAAGAAGGATATGCTGAAATGAAGATTAATGACTTAACATTGGTCAAACCCTTTGAGATTCTTTAAAGGAAAGTGTTTCATGAAGACAGAGTATTCTTACTAATTACTTTATTAGCAAATAAATCAACAATGAAGTCATATTTTAAGATTATGTCAGCCTTCTAGCTGGAGATAGCATGCTATATGACGGTTTTCCAAATTCTGTGGCAATGTTAAGGCCTGAATTCCTGATGGGAAAATATGAACTTGGGTAATGTCACCAAAAAAGAATCAAGGAAAACAAAACGTATGAGGGTTTCTCTGCTACGTGAAGATCAAGAGATATTTTTTCCTCTTCCAAAGAAAAAGCCAGTCATTTGAACATTTCCTCATGATTTTATGCTTAGGAGCTTTGGATACATCATGGTTTTCACTTTTACTTTTGTATTTCTATCAAAGGAGTACGAATGCTAGATGGAGATGTGACAGATATGGTCGAAGCAAAATCTGTCGGCTTTAATCCCCAATATGTGGCCATCTACAGTGCTAGTTGGGGTCCAGATGATGATGGCAAGACAGTAGATGGACCTGCTCCTCTAACTCGGCAAGCTTTTGAGACTGGTGTAAGATTGGTAAGTTTTTGTTAATACAGTTATTTTCACCTTATTTCTTTGTAATATTTATAGGTAAATTTTCTATACATATGTGTGTCTGTATATGCACATATACACATACATACATACACATATACACAATTAGCTTAACACAATACTGCCTTTTGTATATTGAACCTTCAAATTTTATTTTATACAACATCCCACCCCCCCTACACCTATTGTGAGTTAAATTGGTTCATAGGAAAAAGAGACATTTGTTCACTGAGTTGCTGATGAAAGACCATGTCTTAAGGATCCAAGAATTCTCATATGCCCCCTTTCCTTTGGTGGGAATTACATTGATGTTTACTTCGATGCATTTTTCAGTTGTTTTTCTACTGTAAAACTATACTCACACAATTCTTATTACAATTGCAATAATCACAGTGCTTCCCTGGGAGATAAAATGATCAGCTAAAGAAATGGTAGTATGATCCAGGATTTGGTAGAGAAAAATGGAATATTGATTATACTTTGGAGTCAGGTTATGTTTGCCACCCTGGTCTACATATGGAGTAAGAATATAAGCAGTCCTTCCACAGCAATGGGAAGGCTAGATCAAATGAGCTCCAGGCTTTCCAAACATAAAACAGTATCCACCTGGATTTGGGGTGAAGAATTGGAACCTTTGGAGGGAGAAATGTTAGGGAAAAAGTAAATGATAGATAATATTTTATTGTTTCTGATTGAGGATTCTATGACAAGGCTGTCTGATAGGACTCCAGTTTTATTCTTTAACCCAAGTCAACGCTACATTCCTTTGGGAAAAAAAAATATTGCTATATTTTGTTTTTATACCACTTACGTTTCTCAAGCCCAACCTCAGATATTTACTAGCTATGTGACTTTGGGTAAGTCAGTTAACCTCTCAGCCTCAGTTTTCTCATCAATAAAATGGGACTAATCATAGCACCAACCTCCTAGGGTTTTTGTGGGGATCAAATAAGATAATATTTATAGAATGCCTAGGACAATGCCTGGCATGTAGAAGATACTATATAAATGTTAGCTATCATCATCATCACATCATCTTTATTAATGTTTTTATTATTATATACATGTACATTATTTTTCAGTCATTTTTCAGTAGTCAGAGAGGGTGAGGGTAAGGTGTGGCTGGTTTCATTTGGTTATTGGTTAATAGAGATGAAAGGATGTGATGCTGATAGTCATATAACCCGGGCATTCTGCTTTTTCCTCTAGACCTTGATCTATAGTGGTATAGAAAGCACTTTCACGAATAAAATCACAGGTCAGGCAAATATTTGTGGACACACAATCATGCTGATGTGTGTCTTCCCTGCCTCTATTCAGTAATACACATGCATCCCAATGATAATTTTCAGATCCCTAAACTTACCTGCACCATTTCACAGGGTTATTGTGAGAAAAACATTCTTAAATTTGAGTCATAATAATGATACAGTGTAGAAATAGGATGGTGGGATGGCTCCTTTGGCTGAATTGTTCCTTTTTGTTCTCATTCTTAGTTGGTAGGGATGGTTCTTGGGGAAAGAGATGCATGAGTATAGACAGATAGATAGATAGATAGATAGATAGATAGATAGATAGATAGATAGATAGATAGATATAGTATATGTGTATAGATATAGATATAGTATATGTATATCTATCTATATACATATATATGTATATACACACATACATACATACACACATGTGTGTCCATATATGGGGTGGTTAGGTTGCACAATGGATAGAACTCTCGGCCTGAAGTCAGAAGGACTCATCTTCCTGAGTTCAAATCTGGCCTCAGACACTTATTAGCTGTGTGATCCTGGGCAAGTCACTTAACCTTTTTTGCCTCAGTTTCCTCATCTAAAAATGAGTTAGAGAAGGAATAGCAAACCACTCCAGTGTCTCTGCCAAGAAAGCCCCAAATGGTGTCACAAAGAGTAGGATAGTACTAAAAAATGATTGAACAACAATAACAAATTATATGAACCTTATGAGGTGTTGTAACATTGTGGACTGAACAAAAGGACCCCAAACCCCAGAGTTCTAGTCATTGACTATGCCATCATCTTGCTGTGATACCTCAGGTTACTCATTTAAACTTTCTAGGTCTCATTCTCTTCATTTTGTAGGGAGGAAGGTGGGGGAGGACTAGATGATTTCTAAAGACCCTTTTCATTTTAAAGTTCTATTTACACAAAGGAGGCATCATCCATTGGACTAAATGTTAAGTTTGGAGTCCAGGACAGCTTGGGTTTCAAACCCACCTATGATACTGACAAGACACTTACCTGACCCTAGACAAGTTGTTCAGCTTCTACATGTCTCAAGCACCTCTCTGACACTTATGCAATATCTACCAAGCAGGTTGCAGTCTGTGTCAGTGAAGGGTAGTTTCCCCACGCTCACAAGGAGTATTTGTAGATATATAGGTTATACTAGCAAAAAAAAAAAAAAAGTTTAAACTTAGCTCTGCCTCCTTTCTCTTGCCAAGAGTAAATGGGCTCCTAGAAAATTTATTTACTGTTTACTGTGAAGAGATAGGTTTACATAATCAGCTGGGATTCTGAGTGGGGGAATTCATGAGAATGTGTGGATGAAATCAGTTATTGAAATGACAATGTGGAAAAATTAGTACGGTTTGTCTCCACCCTTGTCAGGTGAATTGTTATGGCTGTGTCATTAAAAAGCCTCAAGCGAAAATATGGCAATACTTAACTGCAATCCTCTGGTTATACTAGTTGGGGCTGGAATAAAAAGTGAATATGTTTGTTCCATACCTATTTCCTGACCGAAAGATAGTTTGGGCTTTTTCTTTCTTTCTTTCTTTCTTTCTTTCTTTCTTTCTTTCTTTCTTTCTTCCTTCCTTCCTTCCTTCCTTCCTTCCTTCCTTCCTTCCTTCCTTCCTTCCTTCCTTCCTTCCTTCCTTTCTTTCTTTCTTTCTTTCTTTCTTTCTTTGTCTCTTTCTTTTTCTTTCTTTTCTTCCTTCCTTCTTTCCTTTCTTCCTTCCTTTTTTCTTTCCTTCCTTCTTTTTTAAGATAATCACTTTTCTTCTTATTTCAATTTGCAGCGGTGTTAGAGTCCTTCTAAAGCATGAGATTATGTTTAAATTGTTAACTAGGCTCTCGTTCTTGCGGTTACCTTAACAGCAAATGATTGTACCTTTAGATGATATGGTTATTGGTAGACTAACCCTTGGATTGCAAAACATTATTCTTTCCGTAGGTGCTATAGAAGGGCTGAGTCATTTAAGTTAAAGGAGTACAAATATTTGTTATTTATTTCTAACCTTTTTTTTTACAATCAAATAATAGACTCGTAACATTTTAATTAATAATAGCCCATCTGGTAAAAATTTACCTTCAGCAATATGTTTTAACACTTCAAATTTAAATATTTAGGACCCTAAAGGATATTGTTGGGATGAAAGAGTTCATACACTAGGTGAAAATCTGCTATATTTACTACCTAGGAAGATCATGTTTCCCTAGCCAAATGTGATTAGGTGTTTTGCCAAATAGTCACAGAAATCAAAGCTTAAAATAAACAAACAACAGACCTTCCAGACCCTCCATAAACTGGGTTTGGAATTTTTGCCTAAAATGTCAACATATAAGTGATATAAAATAATCTCAGTTTTTCAGCTAGGGAATAGAGGGAAAATGACTTTAGGTCTTATAGGACCTGCCAAGATTGAACATGATCTTTCCTTTCACAAAAATTTTAATCACATTTTTGCCTAGACCTCTCCGTTGCATTTACCTTGCTGTCTTCATAAACCATAGCTTGAAAGCTGGAAGGAACTTGAAAAACCATCAAGTCCAATACCTTCATTTTACAGATAGGGAAACTGAGGCCCAGAGAGGTAAAATCACTTGCCCAGGGTCACATCGGTTATAAAAGTAGCAGAACTGGAATACTAGTCCAGGACTTTTTACTACAAATCTGGTGCTCTTTTGACTGCACCATCCCACGTATGTAAATGTATTTCCATCCGAATTGCATCATAAACTTGAGAACAGGGTCTGTTTTGTATACATATTTCTATCCCAGTACCTACAAGTGTCTGGAATATAGACGATGAAGTGTTTGTTGAATCAAATTAGTAGTGTGACGTAGAAAGCAGATCAGCCAGGGGTGGATTCAGAGCCAGCAATAACTAGCATCTTAGGTTTAACCCATAAAAACCTGTTGTAGTTATTTGAGCAGAAAGGTCCCTTTTGGCTTTCCTGAGTCATGCTTTTGCCAGAAGAAGATTGTTCATGAGTCTTTAAAGTATCTTTTCCAGATTTTTTTCCCCCAACTATGGCATATTTCCTGGTTTTATTTGACTAAGGGTCTAAATAGTCACATGTTCTCTGAATACTTTTTGTAAATAGCCACGTCAAGCCCAAGGCCAGTTAGCTTTTTGTTAGATTCAGTTCATTCCAAATCATGTTGGAGTTGTTAGCACCTAGGAAGAGAAAAGCATGTGACATTTGGAACATCAAACATTTCCTGGAGTGAGTAATAGACCAGATTGGAAGGGGATAATAGGAAACTGAGTGCTTGTCAGCCGGAGGGTAATGTTTAATAGATGTGTAACACCTGCCTTCCCAAAGCGTTCTCTTTAATGGTATTCTCAAGCGTAGTCACTATATAAGACTTAGGGCATGTGTGTAGCAATAGAGGGAAGAGGAATGGAATGATAATCTTAATTTGTACACTCATCTTTTCTCAATTTATTTCCCTCTTGGTCCTACCTCCCCCATTCTTCTTCTCATCACCTTTCATGCCTGTATTTATATACCTGGTAGGGAGGAGGAGGAGGAGAGGAGCCATCTAAGTCATTTTAAAGTAAATCATAGACTTGGCAAAAGTGGGACGAAATTTAAGTATCCCAACAAAGAAGGATAGCAAGCATTTCACCTTGCCCTCTGCCCTTCTCAAACTGGAGAGCACTGCAGATGTGATCCTTTCAATAGATATTCACAGTTTTCTCATAGTTCTATGTGTTTTCA